GCTGCTGACTGTCTTTGGAAAAGGATGTCGGCATGAGGTGCAATTGTGCTTGTGAAGTGGTTATAACTGGTCTTTTCACAGTATTAAATTAAATGTGCCATTGCAGCCAAGTGTGTTATCATGTAAGGTAAAATCAAAACTACAATGTTGGTTTTACGAGCATTGAGAAGGCTGGTAGGTAACACCTGCCTGTGCTCGTAAATCATGCTGCCAGAGTATTCTAAATTAATTTTATCATACACTTTTGTTGTCCAGAATGGTTGCACTATTGTTTGGTATCATATTCCATGTAAATATGGTAGTGTAAAGTCCGACCAACATGTTACCAGATTTGAAGCTGTTACGTTACCTAAGTACCTGTTTTTTACTGGCGTGGTGAATGTCACCTGGATTTTGTTTTGAGGTGCAGACCTAGTAACTCTGACTACATGGGTTTGAAGCTATTATCTATTCTGTTTTTACTGGCCTGGTGAATGGCGACTGATGTTGTCCGTGGATGGCACTGAAACAAATTTTGAGTGTTTTGTACAGTGTTTTAATACAATGCTGAGGGCTGAAAGTTCTCTTGTTTAGAGTGGTGAAAGTTCAGGATATGCCAGCCACCATGGTGGGTCAGAGTTAAATGTGTTGCAGTCAGTTCGGCTTCGGCAAGCACACGGATGGGCATACGCATCAAGACCTGCTCTGCCATACTTTCAGCCAATTTTACCTAGGTAAGTCTTTTCTTTTTTCTGCCAAAAGCTATGACATTGTTAATTTCAGCACTGTGGCCTGTGTGTAGCTTTCAGGAAAGCAATGCTAAATAAAGCTCTGATAAAGTGCAAAATCAGCAATGCAGCCCTCTATTACATTTTCTACAACATCTTACTTGTTCCTTGCATGGAGAGAAAAATGCAATGTTATGAATTCGTTTATTCACATAATTTGACAAGCATGCAGTTACCTGCTACTATCACTGCACAAAACAGAGCAGAAAACATCAGTTGATCAAACACAAGACATAACAGAAGTTTACAACATAGGGCTGCCGAACCTGCTTCCTCCCACCACAGTTGATGCCATTTCCTAGCCTGGCTTGATGTGAGCACTGAATAGCTGCTTTGTCTAATTACAGCTCACTACCATTCAACTTAAACTACTCTCTTTAAAGTAAGAGTGAGAGCGTTCAGTGTTCATAGCAGCTCGACAGACGACAGACAACAAACATCTTGACAAACCAACCAGTATTTGATTTGGCTAATGATTTATGTGCTTGTTGTATCATGGCCAAACTACTTTAACAGCAATAATCCCTGTTTCATCTTGATCTTGCTTTTATTTCCATTTGAACTCAGATCTTGAAACAATCATCTGAAGTGATATCAGATACTGGCTTCTGTTTCTCTTGAAAGCAAGTTAAAACAACAATGATAAACTAAGGCAGGAGATGTGAGTTGTGGCAGTAGATTTTTGATTCAACATATGTCAACCTTATATTGCTTGAGACCTCTGTGACAGACAAATATTTATAGTTTTTTGATAGTTTGGATTCTTGGCTTGATTTAGCAGATCAGCTGTGAATCTTGACTTTGAAATCACATAAATGTCATGGTACCCGAACGAATCCTCGCATGACATTTCTTCGTAGCACAATTTTTCGTCCGCATTTCTTCGTCTACAAATCTTCGTCGGTGCATTTATTTGTCCCTCAATGCTTACTCTTGCATATATTTGCGTTGAAGAAGAAATGTGAGCCGATTTTCATATACCCTGGTGCGAGACAAAGTAATGCGATAGGTACGAATAAATGCCCCGACGAAGATTTGCAGACGAAGAATTGCGATACGAAGAAATGCCATAAGAATTGTCCTGGAATCCTTTATTGGCCATCATATATTGACCTTGATAAGATAAACGCATCATTCGCGCAATATTTGTCGCACTTTGATACCAAACTATTGCTTCCAAATGCCGACGTAAAGAAAACCTTTATGTGACGTCATAGAAACAGCGGATTTCCCAAAAAGTAAACAAAAATAAAAGTCTTATATCTCGAAAACGGGTGAATATTTTCCGGTAAAATTTGGTAGATGTTCATTTTCGCTCTTTGTGATTCACGCTACATCACTTTTATGCCAATTCATTAACTTTTTTGAAGGTGGGAGGGTCCCTTTAAGCTTCTGCCAACAAATTCACTTACCAAGAAGTTGCCAAGAAGTAAATCGTAGGACTCAAAATGAAAATGTGATTGATAATGGGATGGGAACCAATGATGACTATGCAGGTAAGTTCAACCGGCATCTTGCGCAAACTTTTAGCAAATCGGCGCCCCATTTAATCCCAACTATTCCCGACTAGACCAAGGCCACTAGACTATCTCAATAAACACACAACTGCATTTCCTGCGTAAGACTAATCACGTCATCAGCGCTCTGACGTCATAGGAGGAGGGTGGCGTAGTTATACTGACATCGTACATCAATTACCCCCTACATCACCCTCGCTTCGACACCATCCCAATTCCCAGCGCAGTGGCGCACGTCAGTTGAGCTATTACTCATCTAGCAGAGCCCACCGGCAAATGTGTATATGTCGTGTGCATATGTGTATATGCACGGTATGTGTATATGTACTTATGTGGGGGTGTAGGGCGCCAGAGCTCCCAGGAAGCGTATCAACACCCCCTGGAGACCGGCTATGAATTTTGGAGAGCTGTCACCCCCCCCCCCCCCCCAGCTGACAGCTAGGGCAGAGATGACTATCAGGAAGGCAGGAAGAGAAGGACAGGAAGGTCTGATATTGGTAAAATAGCGAAATGGAATGAAGTAGAAATGAAAAAAGAAAAATACTTCAACAAAAAAGCATGACAGAGTTATCATAATAAATATCGTTTAAATGGCGAATAAGATCAATAGTTTTATCGTCTAGCCGGTGAATAGCTCCTTCGGACTATAAGAACATTAACATCTCCAACTCAGTTCACTCGCTGTCCATAGAGAAATGACTGTCACCCGGTTCACCAAATGGAAAACCGCGCTCTCCTGGGAACCAAGCGTAGGATCTTTACCGTGTCACGCCTGTCCACATGCACAGTTCTGAGAGCAAAGTCGTCAACAGCTCAGAGGCACTTCAGAACTACCCCGAAGGCATAGTGTGCAATGTACAGTTCAATACTGCGTAACTCACCATGCATTAAAGCATTTGGAGAGTAGAACAAATTCAACGCATTCTTGTAAGCGCTTGGGCGCAAAACACAGCCGGGGACCCACATTTGTGACGGAGTGAAGGTACCCGGAGCCACACGTCAGGTGCAGGATCTCCAGTCAAAATTCTGTCGGCGGCAGGCGCCGCACACTGCCGCATATCAGGGCCGAATCACGGAGCTATTGCGAGTCTGGATATTCCGGACCCGGCCCAACAGCCGCCGGATGCATCCATTTTCCGACCGGCCGGGCGTCAACACGCGGCACCTGGAAATTCTCACCACAATGACCGATGGCGATGACTGCCCGCGTTGCTGAGTGCCCGTCCGAGGCACTATAACCATATCCAATTCGATTGCAAACACCTTTGACCCTAAAGAGGCCGTCCACGCGACAAAGTGCATGCGACAACAAATGGCCAATGGCTGAGCATTGGCCGTTTGCTAATTAGGATCAACAAGGAATATCAATCGTTGCTCACCACGACTGATGGGGTTTATTATACATAACGCAATAGGAGATAATTGAAACAATTCCGCAGCTATTCAACATACAACTTCTTGATTGTGAGCATTTTACTTCACTTTTGAACAACAATTTTATCCGTCACATTCATTCCAGAGTTCATTTCCATTTCGGAGACCATACAGAGACAAGGGAAGCCCTAGTCGACTTTATATTACGGTTTTCTGAGTGAACGTGCACGTACATTTAATCGCCTGCAGTCAGTCTGTGTGTTGCAGAATCAACAGCGGCCGTTACTCGCTCCACCTCCCAGAAATGTTGACACAGCCGGTAAGGTGGGGGGAGGGGGGGGAGGTGGAGGGGTGTTATTGCCGGGAAAGTGAGGAAGTAAATTACGGCCAGTTCGTTCCGGTGTAAGTGAAACACCTCGGCAATCAAAGCGGGTGATAGCACAAAATCCCACGAGGCCGAGTCATGTGCATTGTGCAATATGGATAGGTTCGTGGCTAAATGTCGACATCAAAAGATATCTCTTGGAAATTTAAATATGTCCAAAGAGGCTCGGCAGATTCTCAAAATATGACTTTGTTGCGGAACGCTTGTGCGAATATAACGACATCAAGTCGATAAATTGTGAAAGATAGAGGCTCAGTTCATATGTGCCATATTTGTGCAACACATTCCGTGTAAATTGTTGAGCGGGGCCACGTGCCCTGCACCAAGGTCACATAGCGACCATACCAGCACCCCACCGAAATTCTCCGTACCGACCCGACGCCGAGTGAACTTTGGCTGAGGCGCAGACATGCGCTGTTACCAGCGGGTCAGGAGCTAGCCTGCCAAGTGAACCAATGTCTGACCGAGCTAACTGGCAGCTAGAGTCGCCTAGCAAACGCAATGGTGAGAGAGTTCCAGTCATGGTGCGGTACAGAGAACGGTTTCTGAGATCCGGGCCCCGTGAGGAACACAATGAGCTCAGGAGACGCTAGGTCAGTAGGGCAAGGGCGCCGAGACCTCCGCACTGTGCTGTGAGGTGTCATTTCGTGAGGTGGAAAGGTATGATTCATTCAGGAGGTGGATACGAGCCGTCGAGGCTAGTCATTTCCTCCAGGCAGGCGGATGGCCTTTCAAGCCCGCTGGAAAAGATACCAGACCAAACTGTACCACAGCCGCCGGACAACAGGGCACGATTCCAGTTCCCTCTGGTACTGTGACGACCCTGGATGCCTATTGCCTAGTCCATATAGCGATATCAAACAGGGATTTGGGAGTCCCCGGTTTGGGGTCTGAGGACCACTGAGTCGGCCCGGGTTTGAGAGCCCCCGGTTTGGGAGCCACTGCGCTGACCCTGACCTGATAGTGGGGCGGCAGGCCGTCAGCGTTGTCGCAGAGCCGGCGCAGCTGAACCACCGCTGAGCTGATCGGGCGGCACTGCTGATCAGCGGATCTCAGCAGGAAGATGCAGCAGTCAGCAGCCTGGCAAACCTGCCAACACACACAGACATGACATGAGTGTAAACGAAAAGAAAAAAAGAAACATAATGGTGTTGATGCCTGAATACTTCTTGGAATCCGGTGTGAAAAAGTCATCAGACGCCTCAATAAGTTTTTTTGTCTTTTTGCGATGACTATGTGTTTTCCATTCCCATTTTCAATAAGGCAATATCCTTTCCCGCGTCGCTTATTACGCTTCTAAGAACCCAGTTGCTTTCCATACCGGACCAACGCTCGTTCTACCTGCCCCCGGCTCCATTTTCAACAACAGACAGCCTCCAAAACGCGCGCGAGGCAGTTCCAAAATTCGCCGCCACTCGACATTACCGGTCTCTCCACGCAGCACAAACACTTCCGGGAAGCTTCTAGCGCGCTGCGCCGGCACAGCTCGGAGAGCCGCCCGAGCTGCGGGAGCTTCGACAACAAATCAGTGGCGCGCGCCAAGAGCGCGCCAATTGGCTTCCGGGAACGGCCGAGGCCGAAACGGCGTAAACAGCGTGCTGATTGCGCGAGATGCAGGCGGCGGCTCGGAGCGCGCGCGAGCGGCGCACACAGATGAATTTATGGATGAGGAGAGGCGGGCGGAAAAACAACCGTGCTCGGCGGGAGAGGAGAACAAGGTAGGTCAAAAGCTTGGTGCGGGAGCAATACCTATAGGGAGAGTTTGCATTCATGTGTTTTTGGAAAATAAATGTTATGGAAAAAAAATTCCCGTCCTAAAAATAAAAAAAGAAATATGCGAAAGAGAGAAGTTGTAAAAAAGGTAAAATTAGCAATAAGTTACGTGTAATATTGGTAAGATCTATGTTTATCGTTTAGTCCTTTTTATTACGCAGATTTTTCCCCATCTGTCATATTTTCTGACAATAGGCATATGCATTCGCATTTCATGCCTACTCGCACGGTCCTATACCTATCATCAAAGGACATAAAAACTTGCCACCCCTAGGCCATTTCATTTCCAGAAGTCACCACAGGTCGACAACTGATTCCGTCCTGGGCCCGGGGCTGACATGGCGATATTTGTCACCAATCATTTCCCACCAATCGCAATCAGAGACCGCCCCAAACGGCTCCACAGCGACAGCCCAAACCATCCGGCAGAAAAAAAAACTGAACCCAAAAGTCAAAACCGGCTCCCTCTAGAAATCAGATGGAGCCGCCCACGCCCAAACCGCTTAGTGACGAAGCTGTTAGCTGGTTAGTCGTTTTTACCCCCTCGCTCTCTCTTTCCTCTATCGCTCCTTCTTTTTCTTTTCTATTTCTCTTGCTCTTTTAAAATTTTCTTTTGTTATTTATGTCTTTCTTTTCCCCTCTCTCTCCCGGCTCATCTCTCTTCATCCTGTTACCCTCCCTCCCATACTCTCTTTTAATTTCCTACTTCTCTTTCTTTCTTTCTTTCTTTCTTCTTTCTTTCTTACGTTATTTCTCGTCTCGTCTCGTCTCGTCTCGTCTCTCTCCCTCCCTCCCTCCCTTCATCCCTCCCTCAGTCTCCTTGCTCGGTCTTCTCACCGAGGACCAATCTCCGTTTTCCAGAAATTCGTCGCCGGCGGTCGTCGGCAGTGATTTTCTTTGCCCGGCGCCGAAGGCCGGCGGTACCTAATCGGCTCGCTCGCGCCGGCACCGGTCCGCCGCGCGTTCGGCGAACTGTCCCCGACAGCACAGCACGCGGCCGAGGTCAATTACGGCCACCAAAAAATCCCCGAATAGAGGTTTTGTGTTCGCCTCGGAGATGGGACCAAAGGAAGCGGAAACTGGGGGTGGGGAGGAGGGAAAACGGGCGGCGGAGAGACGCGGGGGGGATTCTCAGGAGAAACGGTTTGGTGGTAACGGACGCCTGTTACGCGCCGTTATCCGTTAGTGTCAAACAGCTCGCATTAAAGGGACTATCCCACCTTTAACATGGGGTTTGAGTTGAGATAGCCAAGTTTGCGGCGAGGTTCAGAAACCACTATCTATCTAGGTTGCAACCCCCGCGGCCTCTTGGTGTTGAAGAAATTCGTTTCCTTCATTTGAAAATGGGCCTTGCGCAAGGCCCTATCTTCAACATGGAGCGACCGTTAGTGTGACGTCACCTCGTTTAGTCATTCTGATTTAAATGGGTTTGTTCGTTGAAAAATCGCTTAAAACTTGGTCTGAACTTTGTTGTGGTGCCTACAGAGTAAAAAGAATCAGCTTTATGACAGTAATGTGGCCTGGGGAAGGAGGTAATTTTGGGCTGTGACGTCACATATTTGAAAGTTTGTGTTTGTAATATGGGAAGCCTAACATGTTTAATGAAAAATAAATGCCAGAACCGTGTTCCTGGTCATCCAATCTATAAAGTCGGGCACAATTTAACTGGTTTTAACAACATTTTAGAAGGTGGGATAGTTCCTTTAACGGATGGGGTTGCCTTTGTTTGAGGCCATGAACTGGGCCACAGAGCCCAATAGGCCGCCGTGAAACATGGAAGCACAGACACTGAGCATATGGAACTTGGCATACCGTGGGTCATCGGGACAGTGAGCTAGAAACTTCAAGAAAACCAGCATCAATGTGCGATTTTAGAGACGGAACAGGCTAGAAATCAATTCAAAATGGAAGTAGACGTCCCGTTTTTCGGGGCTATTTCCTCACCAGGCAATAAAAGTCGCAATTTTAGCTCGTGTGTAACTATCCAGTACTCGGTATGGTGGCCCTACCCTACCTGGCCCTACCACTGGAAGCATTTTGAAGTGCCGCTTCCCTTACGCCGAAGCCTTTGAGCTGTGACTTTATCGACTATGATACATACGCTGAAAGCACATGTTTCCTCCATTCCCTTGCATAGCGAATGTGGAAATGTCGCAAGGCGAAGGGCTGATGTAAGTTTACCAAGAAGAGAGAATGACATTAGTTCATGGGTATGACATGGCCGAATGACTTTCTTCCCGGAATGAATGTGATTGAAAGGTGGCTTCATTGTTCACAGCCAAGAAACAGAATCAAGCCTCGATTCATACTATTCGGCAAGATTCACGAGCTGACCGTTCCACCTCACCCACTCAAGGAAAGTCTTCTCTGTTTATTTCCGAGACGAAAAGCCCTCGCTCCTTGCCTCACAGTTCCCGTACTACGACGCAGTATGTTGGCGAGGTCTGTGCTTTGAATACCGAGTGGCCCGAGGATTGCCCACGGTACAGCGCGGGCGCCTTATCTCTGCACAGAGCGTGCATTAGTGACTGGGCCGGCCGGCCGGCGCGATCTGCCCGCCGCCGTTAGGTGCGCGGTTAGAGCTCGGAATGGAGATCGACCCGCGTGGTGAAACGGCACAGAGCGCCAGCACGCGAGGCGCGGCAATACCGGCGCCTTTGTGAACTCGGTGCAATGAAAACAGATGGTGCGACGCCTGTCTATGTAAAACATGACGAAGAAGAAAAAACTATACATCATCGTATACAGTAAACCGTCCATCTGCAGGTGAACGACACAACGATACATGAATAGAGCGTTACAAAAATCACTGACAGTTTCTCCCAAGCATTCGTTTAATCAACCACAATCAATCGCATTACAATCGCTTTGATAATGCCTTGCAGCCACCGACCGAAACCAATAAACTTCATGTACCGAAGCCACAGTTCCCTCGGTAACCAGCAGCTCACAAACCACGGTTACCAAACCGGATAAAACCGGACAAATCTGGCCCGAATACCTCGGCTCGTGGGTGCGGAACGTCCGAAATCATGGCTGCAGGACGCCCGTACCTACTCTTCGGTCGCGGGACGCCCAACTCTTGGGTAGGGGACGCCCAGAGTCATGGGTGAGGGGCGCAGACGGACGCGTCCGTCACAGAGACGAACATTTTTCGAGTGTTTAATCTACATGTTATAAATGCTTCACCTGTGCATTTTACGGTGCGCACTGCTATATCAGCGTTTTAAGTATAATGTAGCAGTAAGAAAACGGCAAATCGAGTGGAGTTCAAACACAGGAAGACACAAACGGCGAAGCAGTACCGCGCCGATAACTTGACTTGACGTTAGCTTTGGCGCGTTTTAGCTCCTGTTTCATCTATGAAATCGTTTTGCGATCTCAGACACGGCTCGGTAAACAGGTGAGGCCAGGGGGAACTAGATTGTGTAGGTATTCAACAGTTCGAGAGGGCCGGTGGTGGCAGCACATCCGCCGCCCGGTCGGTCGGCGCGGCTCTCACGGGGCGGCCTCGTATACGAAGAACAGGCGCGCCGGCTGAGCGCGACAAGCACACCGCGGCACGCCAACCGGCAATACCGAGCTCCATTACAGAGCGAGAAACGAGCCGGCCGCCGCCGTACAGGGAACGCGGACCGTGCAGCGCTGTGGAGCGCCCGCCGGGGAGGCCGCGGGCGGCGCCGGGCTGCAGAGGGGCGCCGCGCCGCGCGCACGGCCGGCCGCTCATGACAGGTGAGCACGAGAGAGGCGGCCGCTGTGACACGGCGGGGGGATGGAACGGGCCAGGAATGGTCTGCCAGAGGAGTGGCGAGCTGTCTTCATGGAGTCGATATGCACTGTAATGCACGGTGTTTGGTAAAGTACTCGTACATGTATGATGGCGGTGTTGGCAAAGGTGCATCTGTTTCAACTCATCCGGTACAAAATTATATCCACGCTTTGGGGTTGCGCCACAAGCTCCGCAGAGGGTACTTTCGACCCAGTTCGGAGGGGACCTCCTCAACTAATGGGACTAAACTGATAAAAATGTGTGGTAGAAGAATATCTGCATTACCTCAAAATAATACCTACGTCCCACGTGACCAACACTATTCGACTTAAAATACCGTTACATCTTCGACTTTTGTCAAAGACATCTTCGACTTTTGACACTTTCCCTGCAGTGGCTCTTGATAAATTTTCGTCCGATTTAAGTACGTTCTTTTAGGCGTCCCAACAAACCCTTCCTTGCAACTTTGTCTAATTGACCTAACTCGCAAACAAAAGACGAACCATAAGATCTAACTTTCACACACAATTCTGAGACAGACTGCATC